TTTTTACTTTTTTTTTAATAAGTTTTCAACAGTTATATTATTCATTCATATCATCATTTTTTATTATATATTATTATAACATGTAAAGCAATCGAGTTTCTAATAGACTTAATCAACAGCTTGAGTCCGTATTATAAAAGGTATTTTAACAAAAGAAGTGTTTTTATTTTAACTCTACATGTTCTATAAGGAATATAAATTAAATAATATTAACTTAACATAATATATTATATTACATATTCTTCGATCTCTCTTTTCAATAGTACACATATGTTCGAATTGTTCTTAAATAATACGTTTTTTTTTCTTATAATTTTACATTAGAAATTATTTTTATTTATGCAGTTAGATAAAATGCATCTATTATACCTACGAATAATGAAAAATAACTATTTTGTCTTTTTTTGTCTGATACATAAAAAGTATTTATTCTTTCTTTTACATCAAATTTTTAGTCCCCCTTTTTACATAAGGTATTAGATTCAAATAAAATAATTCATACATTCTTTTTTGCACATCAAATATATATACATTTCTATTATATCGAATAAAATAACTAATATGATTGCAATGATATTAATTTTTAATGCGTTTTTAACCTCTTTGAATTTTTAATTTAAAATTTGATATGATATTATAATTATTGTGTAAACCTTTAGTGCAAAATCAAATATCTTTAAAGCTGTTATATCGATTATTTCATATACATTATTTATTTGGACAACTATGCATATACGCATATACATAATTGTTTATTTAAAACAGAAATTCTTGGAGTTTTTATTATACAAATATTTAAGTAATTATAATGTTATCGTTATGTCAAATCATCTAAAAGAAATTGCAGACACGTTATAAAATAATATTGTCACATCAGTTACTTTATTCGATGTAAGAGAAAAAGTATATATAGATTTGATGTAGAAAAAATGTATAAATTACTTTATTGTAAAATGGAGTTTGATATATATCTGATATTGGATGTGAAAAGAAAGAGAGACAGAGAGAAAAGCAGGGGAAAAGGGAGAGAGATAGTTATAACAATTTAATGTGTGGATATAAATTGGGATAATTTTTAATAAAAAATAACATAAAATAATTTTCAATAGGTATAATTGATAGCTTTTATATTATATATGACAAATATGTCTTTTTTTTCCTCTAAATGTTTTATGAATAAAATCTATCAGACAATATAGTCGGTACGTAGTCGGTACATATATACATATTAGATTACAGATTAGGTTTAGCACATGGACGTTAGAAATATCTAGACAGAGCACAAGGTACATTTTCGGGCGCGGGGTGTAAGGACTGAGGAGTAAGGGGAAATCTCGATGTGGCTATCTTGATTGTTTAATAGCAGTATATATATAATTCTATTTTCACGCCATACGACGTGATTTTAACTACTAAGACGTTACAATAGACCGAAATCCGTGCAATTAGTCGCTGCTTCATTATCTTGGTTGTTCATATCCGTTACACCAGAACTTTCATTCCCCTTTCCTCTTTGTCTTCAACTCCGCAGCAATACGCTCTGTCCAGATATTTCCTACGTCTATGGTTTAACATAAGTAAGATTATATAAAGGAAGATTGAGTCACATATTTAATGTATATATTGACTTGCGTAACCCATGATGCATTGCGAAAGGCCGCGAGAGTCAATAACATAGTTTACCTTATTTAGCATCTTTTTTGAATATTTAGCAACTCTTTTGAATATTTAGCATCTCTTTTTAATATTTAGCATCTCTTTTTAATAGCGACTAACACAATCGATTCTTTGCATTGCATTATGGGTTGCGAAAGGCTCGTGTGACTTAACCTTCCTTTATATAACCTTAAGCATAAACGGCGAATATTGCTAGCACCATCTCATGTTAAAGACGGGAAACGTACATTTTTCCAATCATGGAGAAGACACGGACGTTTCTTAATTAATTAATAGTAAATTTTCTGTTTCGGACTTTACGCTGTAATCTCTCGGTTTGTAGAACAATTAAAGCAAACGTAAGCACATTTTATATAATTCAAACTCAATCTATTGATCAAGCTTAGTAAGAACTCGATCACTTCAACCGTTATTGAAGTCCGATAATTTAAGATACTCTCAACTGGCCGACTCACGTATAGATACACGGGGTGCCTCGCTGCTACTGCGCGTGACCTGGTGCGAGACACTACCGTGTCTCTTGATATTTTATTTGATGACATGTTATATCTATGTTTTAAACAGTTTTATATTTGTTTTATTTTACAAGAAAAAAGAACAAATTTAATCAATTTTACTCACCGTCCGACTTGTGACATTGACTAGACGACACGAACAGTCCAAATATTATAATAGATAATTGTAACCATAGTGCTACAGTAGCATCCATCCTGATAAACTTCAGCATGACGACTGACGAACATAAAAGTAGAAAGATAGAAAGAATGTAAGAATATGTTGTATATATTAAAGCGTATTCACATCCCTACTCTTGCTTCTTATCTAATCAAACCATAACAAGCGTCAATGACTCTCGACAATACAATTACATTCATGAAACGGTCGCACTAGGGCCATTAAACTTGAGGCCACCAAATTCCCATGTAATTTTGCGTGACCAACATGATGACAATTTATGGCTCTCTTTGAGATATGTTCTCTGGTAAAATGGAACTAAATATCAATATGGCGATATATAATAATTTATTAATTCAATTCATTTACGATTCATAACGCATAAGAATTCCAATAAGTAGATCTAACATATATATATATAACATGATGACACTCTCTTTGAGATATGTTCTCTGGTAAAATGGAACTAAATATCAATATGGCGATATATAATAATTTATTAATTCAATTCATCAATTCATTTAAACGCATAAGAATTCCAATAAGTAGATCTAACATATATATATATA